AAGGCCTGTCTACAATACATGGAGTAAGAAGTAAGAGTAAGAAATTGACCAATCACAGTGAGAAGAATGTGAGAAGAATAATCGACTGTGATTGGTCAATTTCTTACTCTTACTTCTTACTCCGTGTATTGTAGATGACGCCTAAGAATGTAATAATCTCATATCACATTTTATATAAATGTTATATTACATGTGTTATATTACATATTTATATAAATTATATATTAATTTTGTTATTTCAAATAGAAAAAATGAAATAAAAATTACGTATTTATTTCATCCCCCCCCTTTTCTCTACACATATGCACATTTACCGGTTTTAGCTTATTTCTAGAGCTAGAGTATTTCCGAGAGGCATATGACGGATTTAAAAATTTCGAGTTGGCAACACTGGTGCCGGCTTTACTCCAATTTTCCCGCGAATTGTTGGAAAGATTAGGGTTAGGTTAGGTTAGGTTAGGTTAAGTTAAGTTCGGCTCTGAAAAGCAGACGACGGGCTTCACATATACCAATATATACCTACTTATGTGTTGTATGTTAATGCATACGGGCGATACTGAGCACGTGCTTTCTCATCGGCTTGCATCATTTACGTCGTATGTCGTTTCATCATGAATGGTACAAGTTTTGGCAGACATACATGATCCAAAATATCCAGTATCCGATAGTAATTGTTGTGTTGATCATCAATTTTGCGCGAATACTTTTTCTACCGAAAGATCTGGCGCGCGATACGAGGTAGTCTTTTGATCAGAGGTCACTTTTCCTACTATCAGTTCGATGACGTTTCTTGAAATCTTCTCATTAATCGGACCTAACGTTGAGACGGAGCATAATTTGATAAGGAAATGCTTCATGAACAAGAAGAGTCCGCACCGAATCTCTCGAAGAGAGATGTCTTGCTTACATCATTTATCGTAAGTGTCGTTTCATCCATGGTTGCCGGCTGATTATTAAACTCATCATATGCGAGTTATCTAGCTATATTATTTTTTATACCTGACATTTGTTATCTTTTTTGTTTTTTTGTAATTTTTTGAATAGTTGCTCATATTGTTTATATAAACATGTTCCATTTATAATTCACAACTAATTATAGCTCATGTTTTCTTCATCAATCTCGTATCGATTATTTATCAGGCATTAAATTTTCCTGATTTATACACATGTCTGTTACTACTATTACTTACAAATTGATTTTCATAAATGATCGTAAATAGTTGCGTTTTATTTTCTTATAAATCATTTCTACATCAATAAATTACTTGTTATTAATATTTCGAACAAAAAACTAATTTCGGCATTATAAGGTTAATAAATTATTTTAGTATATTATTTTATTTTTTAAAACGTTTTAATATAATTTACCATTTATTATTTCTTTGATGTCTTGAGTATTTAATGAAATTCTTTTTATCAAAATAAATCATTACTGACAAATATACAGAAATTTTTGCCTAGTGACGTAGTTAAAATATTAAAATATTGTTAATAGATTTTAATAGACATCAATATGATTTTATTAGAAAATAATTGTTGCTTCATGTTAGTCAGGTGCCCTTGCAGGAGTCGTTTGTGACGTGACACTTTTCCCATTGGATACCCTGAAAACACGCTTACAAAGTCAACATGGATTTTTCCAATCCGGTGGTTTCAGGTACCTGTATAAAGGCATAGGGCCTGTAGTACTAGGTTCGGCTCCATCAGGTATAATTTAATATTGAAATAAAACACAGTTATACAAAAAAAATATTTTCCTCTAATATTAATGAAAACATTAATGTTACAGCTGCTATATTTTTTATTACTTATGAAGGAATAAAACAATATTCACAACCGTATGTACCAAATCAATATCACTCCATCATTCACATGATTGCAGCATCATCTTCTGAAATAGTAAGTAATTGCTAATTGCATTCAATAACAATGCTTTCTATTTAATGATACAAATCAACATATACCTTTTATCTTTTTTAACATTTAGTGATGAAGACAGAATGTCGCTTTGTGTCACAAAATGGAAAGCATCTAACGTTTTATAGGTCTATTTATCACTGTACTATGCACTGCACTAAGGCCGATATTCAAATTATTCTTATATTTAAGATCGTCTTACAGTTAAATAGTCATAGGAAATTTTCATCTTGAATTAAT